ACCTGCCCATATTAATTTAGGGCAGAATTTTAAACCCTGGGATACTTTCCCCTGCTGATAACCAAGGACAGAGAGACATTTCCTTAAATATTACCCCCATTATTGTGATTTGAAGGAGCCAATTAATCATTTCTTCTTTGATTTTTTTAGAGTGGTTTCTCCTGTATTCATATATAACTTCTTAATTTGTATACTGGAAGAACAAGTAATTTTGCTTTGATTTCCTTTCCTTTCCACATTTCTGTTGCCTATGCTGTTGGAGAAACTCATTATGTCCCAGACTTTACTTGGAAGAGAGGACTTGTTTTGCTCTATGAACCACACTGTTACCTGGGGCACTGAGCAACCTAAGAATTTTCTGTGATTTGACACTGTTCTACAGCATATCACAGTTTGCATGAATAAGTGATAGGGGATTCCTTTTTGCTATCTTAGTGGGTAGAGTTAAAGATAACACTGATTTTGGTGTAAAATAATTTTAATATCTTCTATTTGGGGCTAGAATACTATTTATCTCTTAAGTGGAGAGGGCAAAAGAGGTAAAAAAATTAATCATTTCCTCTTACTGATACATTGCTAACCTATTTACTTAGATTCCTTTACCCTTGTTTTTTTTTTAAAGATTTTATTTATTTATTTGAGAGAGAGAGAGCGTATGAGTGGTGGGGAGGGGCAGATTGCTTTTCGTTCAGAAAGTCCATTTGGACTTCGAGCTAATCATTTTGCAAGCAGGATGTTTCTGCAATCTGCGAAAATTCTGTATTCATTACTTCTCTGTGCCTCAGAGACTACTGTAATTTGCCTTAGAACATGCACAACTTTTGTCATCTTCAAATCTAGTTTATATTTGTTGGCTGTACAACAGAAGCAGAACCGAATCATTTTAGTATTGGAAGGAAACTCATTTAATTCATTCCCCTTTGCAGTGCTGGAATTCGCTTCGCAAGATGCTATTGCTCTGAATCTTCCCCCTGAGAGAGAAGCCGTAACTCTACCAAGGCTCAGTGGTTTTCTGATCAAACACACACAACTTTTCTCTTAGATTCAGTTGACCTTTTTTTGAAACTTGAGAACTTAAATTTGTTTAGTTATTTGATATATAAAAATAACTCTGAACATTTAAATAACTCATATTAAGGAGTTTCCTTCACACATCAAAACGATTAAATTATTTAGGCACTTAGACCAATTTTGGTATTTACTTTGCCAACATTCTGTGTTAAAATTCATCAAAGCTCTGGGTTGGTAGCTGTGGGAGGGAGAGGACACAGTTTGACTTGCTAGTCTGCTCATCACTGACCTTCTGATGTATCTTGATTCTGCTCATTAATTTTTAAAATCGAGAAGAAACACTTCATACAGCTGGGGCTTTTAATTTGCAAGGAACAGAAGTTGCCTCTGAATAACTTATACCAGAAAGAGGGAAATGAGGGAAAGTCTGAGGAGCCAGGTCTGAGGAAGGCAGCATTCAGGGGACCCCAGTGACTCATCCTCAGGACTGTTCCTGCATAAAGCATCCTCTCCCGCTTTTGGCTACCTGTTCTTAGGGTGCCTGGACACACTGGGTATCTTTTGGCAGTTTGGGGCTTCTTTTGTTTTCAGGCTTATTGGGAGCCCAGCTGCCTTCTTTGTTTTTCTCCCACAAATATATTGATTTAAGTCTCAGAGCTGGTAGTGGTTTCCTCTCCTCGTTCATGTTTTGGGTATGTTGGGATGTTTCCCAGGGTGGGGAGTGATACTTAGGTTTGCTGTCTTACTTGCACTGTCATTTTTTTTATGGGGAGAGTTAAGGAGATTGGAAAATTCTGTCAGAATTCTCTCCTGTTTGTTTTTCAGTCTACTGAATCTTGAGTTCCATTCCATTTTGTTATTTATTTGTAAACTTCCTCCTGTGTAATCTTGCAAGACATTTGTTGATGTTATCTGTCTTCTCTATTATGTCATTGTGTTCTATTTCGTTTTGTGGATTTGTCGTGTAACTTTCTGCTTTCCTTCATTTTCTGCTATTTTTACATTTAAATTCGTGATTTGCATATTTATCTCCTTGATTTTCAGTTTTTCTTTTTTTTTTAAGATTTACTTATTTATTTGAGAGAGAGAGGGGTGCAGGGAGGGGCAGAGGGAGAGAGAGAATCCCAAGCAGACTTCTCACTGAGTGCAGAGCCCCATGCAGAGCCTGATCCCACAACCCTGAGATCATGTCTTGAGTCGAAATCAGGAGTTGGATGCTTAACTGACTGAGCCACTCAGGTGCCCCTCAGTTTTTCTTTTGAATGTAAACATTTGAAGTTATAAATGTTCCTGTAAGTATGATGTTTGCTTTATCTCACAAGTTTTTATATTTTTTTGTTATTTAATCTCGTATTTTCAGGACACCTGTCTGGCTCAGTTAGTAGAGCGTGTGACTCTTGATCTCAGGGCTGTGAGTTTGTTCCCCACAATGTGTGTGGAGCCTACTTAATAACAAATATATATATCTTTTCTAATTTTATGATCCTTCTTTGATCCTTGAATTCCGTAAAAGCATGCTCATATATATATTTCCCTGGGTTTCTTTTTGTTACTGATTTCTAATTTAATTCCTTTTTGGTTGGAGAAAATGATCTACATGGTATTGATTCTTTGGGATTTTTGAAATTTGCTCTGTGGTCTACTTTCTGGGCATGTTTTGTAAATGATCAGTGGGTGCTTAAATGGACTTTTTGAATATACTTCATGTAACAGGTGTAAGGGTCTGTGTATTGAGTGAGATCAAGTAAGTTATTCAGCTCCTTATTTATCTGCTTGGTCTGTGAATTCCTGAAAAAGACTTTATATCTTTCTATAGGTATAACTAATACTTACATGGTACTTACTATATTCCAGGCACTATTTTAAGGGCCTTAACATGTATTAACTTACTTTTTTGGTCATTTTTCCCTCAGATCTGTTACTTGTTCTTATATTTTGAGACTGGATATATTTGTCACTAGCTTTCTACACCTGGGAATCAGAGTCTCTTATCATTGAGTATTGACTTTATTCATCTCTAACAAGATTTTTAACTGTAAAGTCCTTTCCCCCCCCTGAAATTGATGTAGTTACACAGGCTTTTTCTTAGGTTAAATTTGCCTGGCATATCGTTTTCATCCTCTTTTGTATGTCCTTTTGTTTGAAGTGTGTCTCATAAATAGCCTATGGGTGGATTTCTTTTTTAAATGGTTTATTTATTTTGGAGAGAGAGAGAGAGAGCATGAGTGGGAGGGGCAGATGGAGAGAGAATCTCAAGTAGACTCTGTGCTGAGTGCGGAGTCCGACCAGGCACTTGATCTCACGACCCTGAGATCACAACCTGAGCCAAAGCCAAGAGTCGTTCGTTTAATCAACTTTGCTGCCTAGGCACCCCGTGGTGGATTTTGTTTGTATCCAGTTTTATCCAAGAGCGGTAATACGGTTGATGGTCAAAGCCAAGAACTTGAAGGCCGGATTACTTGGTTTGCATTGTTGCCTGGGGTGTTGGTATGTGGCAGCTACAATTCTATACTTGGTGAAGGGAGGCATTTTGGCTTCCAAAATCTAAATAGATTTTAACCTCTCCATGTGTTTTATGTTCATGTCTGACCCTCGCTGTCCCAGAAGTGAAGTACCTGGTATGTTTAGGTTCCTATTCTCTTTAGGATTCTTGCTTACCCTTTCAGTATCCCTGCCACCTGTCCTTTATGGTGTTTGCACTGCTCTTTACTTTTTATCTCTTGAAAATGAATTAAAGTATCTGTAAAGTTGTCATAATAAGAATGCTTCCTTACAGGACTGTTTGAAAGTAAGTGTAAGTCATACATGTAAAAATCTATGAAGAGTACCTGGTGCATTCAAAGTGCTTAGAAGGATTTGTTCTTGTTTTGTTACTAATAGTAATATTAGAGTTTGACTTTTAATGCTCTTGGGTACCCTCTATTTATCCACAGTCCTTCCTGCCTTTTGTTTGTCACTATTAATTTTATCATTACATTTATTCTTTTTATTTTATAATTCAACTTTTTCATTTTTGCTTTTTTGTTACACAGGTGATTCAGGGGGATGTAACTTTAGAGCATCTCAATTCAGCATGTCTAAAGTCATAACTGGATTTAATGGAATTTTAAAATCATTTTCCAGAAGGAGTATATTCATAATTAAACTATATGATGAGTTAAGACTTATACAATTTTTATATCTGAGGAGTATAGAATACTTCAACTAGTTGATGGGACTGGATTCTGTATTTCGTATGGAGAGTTAAAACCTCTATGGAGTAAAATTTTTGCTCTCAATGGGAATCTCTGATTTTAATTTATTTTTTTATTAGAATGAACATTAGTGGTCATAATGTGCAGAACAAAGTGAATGGACTTAATGCCATTTGCTAAAAAACAAAATTCAACTGAGTAAAGTTTAAAGATCTTATTGGCTTTATTCAGTGGTTCATGATTTGGGCAGCATCCAATGTAGGAGATAGAAAGTAGCCCTGAGATGCTGTACAAAATGAAAGACTTCTCTAGGCAGAGAGAGAGTAGCAACAAGAAAATGATACTAGGTGAAAAAGTGGGTTACTTTCCTTAGGGGAGAGCGGGGGTCAACCAAGCAGATTACCTAACTAGTAACCCTGATTGACTGGTTTAAGATTTCATTTTTGGGAGAGCCAAAACTGTAGTTAAGTCTCAAACATGATATGGGGCTTAGGAAAAGTGACTGCATTTTGGGTCTTGACTTTTTAACACACTGAAGTATATACTTAAAAATGTTTAAAGTGGTAAATATTATGTTATATATATTTCACCACAATTAAAAAAAGGGACCATTAGCTGTTATGCCCATGTCTCACATGAAAGAAGATGTTCATCAGTGTGAAAATCTAATTCTTACAGGAGCAGACATTGGGGTGAGCAGAACATATTGGCATCAGTATGTTGATTTATGTTTCTTTCTTCAAACATATATGGTTCTCACTCATTTCCTAATGTGAATTTTTTTTTTTTAAACAGGAAGGAAAAGCTGATGCGGTGTTCTCAATGCCGAGTTGCAAAATACTGTAGTGCTAAGTGTCAGGTAAGAATGTTCAGCTACAGGGGCGCCTGGGTGGCTCAATTGGCTCAGCTCAGGTCTTGAGATCGAGCTCTTTGTTGAGCTCCCAGCTCAGCGTGGAGTCGGCTTGTCCTTCTCTCTCTGCCCTCCCTCCACATGCTCTCTCTCATCCTCTCTTTCTCTCTCTGAAATAAATGAATAAATAAAAAGAATGTTCAGCTCTATGTAAGTGAACCCTTCAAGTTCTCTCCTCTGAATTTGTGCTCCATTATGCCCATTGGCCTATTGGTTTTTTTTTTTATAATCTTTGATTTATTTTAACTTATTTTCCTTTAATTTAAAAATTAATGTGTATGGTAAAATATCATTTATATGATATCTATATATATAAACTAAATATGTAATATCCATATATCATGAAAAAAATGTTCACTCCTATCTTCTTGTCCTCCTGACCTCAGTCCCATTGTCCAGAGATACCTAGTTTCTTATGTCTTTGCAACATTTTCTACTCCTAACACATTCGAATATTTATTCTCTTTATTAGAAAAACAGAAATGGGTTAATTTTATATACCTAAATTCTCCTTTTCATTTTATAACCTGTCCAGAGGACCCTTTGGTCTCATCCCACTGTTTCCATTACATGAATGCACCACAGTTGTTACTTCTTCTTTAATGAATGCTTAACTTTTTTTTTCAATATTTGGTATTGCCAGTTATGGACCAAGTATCTTTTTGTACACATTTCTGCACACTTCACAAATTAGTTGTAGGGTAAATTCTTCCCAGCTGTATCGATGAGTAAAAGGATACATGATTTTGAATTTTTAGATAGTGCCAAATTGCGTTCCAAGAGTTTAATTTAGGACAACTGACAGAGAGTCTGTGAGAGTACCATTGTTAATGTCTTGGAAATTCTTTAAAGGGTGTATAATTAACATTCCAACATAACCTTTTCTTCTAACCTTATGATTAATCATTTTATAAGAAATGTAATTATGCTGTAATGAATTGCGTCATAATAAAATAATTGGAGGTTTTGTGTCTGTGTCACTTGCTCTCAACCTTCCACCCATCATTTTTGTTTCTTATTTTGGGGTGTGTGTGTGTGTGTGTGTGTGTGTGTATGCGCGTGTGCACGCACGCACACACGTGGACATCTAGTGTTCTTCTTTTCCTTTTTTGGCATCTAGGCCATGCTTATCTGAGGGAGTTTCGCTCTCTCACTTTCTCCTATGAAAGTAATTTCTCCAGACTGCAAATAGAGTGATCTTAACAGAGAAGAAACCTAAGCAAACAAGCATACAAATTAATCAGACGACCCAAGTTCTAATGACCGTTGTGCCATTAGCTCGTTAAATTGTTCCGAAGAAAGCATGGTAACTCTCTGGGCCTCAGCTTCCTAATCTGTACTACTAATAAGAACTAAGATTTACAAGATCTCTCCTGTGTGCCAGGTACTGTTTTATTCTGTTTACTCCTGTATGAATCTTGGGAGATTACTACCATTGTGCTTGTTTTGCCAGTCAGGGGGCTGAGCTACAGAATCTTAAGTAACCTGCCAAACATCCTATACCTAATAGGTGTGGAATTTGGATCCAGAGTTCTAATTTCTCTTCTAAGCCCAAATTTTATTTTTGTTCTAACATTCTGATTAGGTGTAGCTTTCTGTTTCCTGTGCTATTCACATTTTTTCCTGGCTTTTGTTTTGTTTTTAATAAGGGTGCAACCCAATCCCCAAGGAACACAAAACAAAAAATACTAAAATAGAAGGTTTGAAGTAACACTTTCCTAATAAAAATAGGGAATGTGAGAAATAATTGGATTATTTTTGCCTCATTTTGTAAAGCAAAAATTCTGTAACAGAACGATACAAGATTTATATAAGATCATTAGTAATAATAATAAGAAAAAGCAAATTATGAAAACAAAGCCATCCTTTTTTCTACAAGATAAATTCTAGATAGACTATTTTATGGTGATGTTATCTATCTTATTCATGTGAAACTGAGATTCGTTTCAAGGAACTTCAAATTAAGAAGACTATATATAGAACCAACAAATTACATATATCTTCTGGATGAATTTTCTTTCCAGTTTCAATGACCTAAACATTTACTTTATTTTCTCCAGTTTTTATGTTTTTTCTCCAATGCTACTTCCTCCTTTTGTCGTACACTCAAGGAAGAAAAAACATGATCTGATTAGAATGTGTTGAGGGAGTTTGGTGGTGGGTGTGTCATTTCGATTCATTGTCGTGCATGTACTCTGACCACATATATTAACTGCTTACTGTAGCATCAATAATAATGTCATCGTCAGATATACTGTAGAAAGTAATGGGACAATAGCTAGTAAGTTGGAAGATACCATATATAAGCCAACTAGTGCATATGCTTGTATGTGTGAGGGGGATGGGATGTGTGTAGAGGCGGGATGGGAGTCAAAGATTGGCCAGAACACATGCATTTAAACTGCCCTGTTTAACTCACCCTTCAGGTACATAATTAAACATTGTAATTATTGTGGATTCCTACAAAGCACCACAAAATTAAACTGACAAACTGAACTATGAACAGTAATGAACAGGAGGCAAACACCCTCAGAATGGAAATTGATATAGAGGATGTGAATTTGTAGCATAAAATCTATAATATATTTGCCCTGGAGGGACATAACTTTGGTTCTTTAGCTTAGCATTTGATGTGTGGGGCCATGGCATCAACGAGTCATGTGAGGGAGGCTATTGAGGTATTATGAGGTATAATATCCCTCACGCCCATAAGGGTGGTTTCAGTGTTAATTGGTTTTCACATTTCATTTTTAAACAGAAAAGTAAAGTAAGAAGACTGAATGTTTCCTCCAGCTTCCTTCCCCATTCCTACTTCTGTTTTCCGGAGGTAATGTCTATGTGTTTGTTTTGTGACTGGAGGATACACACAAAACTGTTCATCTACACTTCATACCTAGTGTTCACATATATGTATATATTGACTGCTATGTTCACTATTGTTTCTTATACTGGAGAGTGTTTTGTCATCAGTGGCTTTGTAATTCCTCTGTGGATACCTTATTATGATGTGTCATATAATGCGATAGAGGGCTTATATATAGGAACCAGTCTGGTTTATATATAACCAGAGCATCATAGGTGATTTTGAAATGAAAGAGGAGGAGTGGGCTAAGTTTTCTTTTAAAAATGCATGCTCAGGGGCACCTGGGTGGCTCAGTCAGTTGAGTGTTTGCCTTTGGCTAAGGTCATGATCACAGGGTCCTGGGATCGAGTCCCACATCGGGCTCCCTGCTTAGCAGGGAGCCTCCTTCTCCCTCTGCCCCTCCTCCTCGCTCATGCTTGCGTGTGTGCACACCCTCTCTCTCTGAAAGAAATAAAATCTTAAAAAAAACACGCTCAAAATTTGCAATGTTGCTAACAAGTAAACCAATTTCAAGCAAATTCACCAATTATTATTTTACTTCTTCTGGATTTAACTTGATTCATAATATCTACATTTCTGATTGAATTAATTGCTGAGCAAAATAAGCAGCTGCATACTGTACCAAATTATAATTTATATACTTTTAAAAAGTATTAGCAGGGAGAGGGCCTGTTTTATTTAATAATTATAGACCTCTTTAAAAATGTGAGTCCTGGGTGCCTGGGTGGCTCAGTTGTTAAGCGTCTGCCTTCAGCTCAGGTCATGATTTCAGGGTCCTGGAATCGAGCCCCGCATCGGGCTCTCTGCTCAGAGGGAAGCCTGCTTGTGTTCCCTCTCTCTGGCTGTCTCTCTCTGTCAAATAAATAAATAAAATCTTTGAAAAACAAAAATAAAAATGTGAGTCTTATTTATCGCTTTACATTTTATGTTTAGTTATAGAATGATCTGATTTATTTGTGATGAATCTCATATTAGTCAGCACTAACAGTGCGATTTAATAAGTTGGGGTCTAGAATATAACACTCAATAATGGTAATAATGGAGAAAACCAAGCCCTTTGTTTGTTTCATAAATAGTTCTGTGCCAGCTTCAGACTGAGAGGACATTAACTGAGTGTTCTGTAGGGAAGTTGGCTTCATATCTAATTGTAAATAAAAAGAGAATACCGTGTAAAGGTTGAAATTATTTGATCATATTTAAGTTTTTGACTTCTACCAACATCTGGGGCCCTAAGCTTGTCTTTGCTCACTTTGCATCCACCGGCTGAATGCTCCCATCTGCTCCCATGACTTCAGTTGACATCTGTACGTTAATCATTCTTGAGACTCCATCTCCAGCCTTCTCCTTTCTCCCAAGGACCACACCCATACTTTACGGGGTACCTCTACTTTGGTGGTGCACGCATATCTCAAGTGCCATATAGCAGGTCCTCAGTGCATGATCTTTGCCCAAACCTGCTTTTGTTCTCGATTTTCAGCCACAGTGAATAATCCACCAACCACCCAGCAGTCTGAGTTGCCAGGCTGGAATCATCTTCAGTTGATGTCCTTTCTTGGCCCCACGCCCAGTTAATCAACATGTCCCGCTGATTTTACTACTTAAGATCTAAATTGGTTTGCTTCTCTAGTTTCTCCACCAGCTCCTGTGTGCGTGTGCCTCTGACCTCTCTGCTATGCTGACTGCAGTCTGTGCCTCCTGCCCGCTCCTTTCCTCCTTCCTACATGGGAGCCAGAGCGATCGTTTCGTTCTAGAGTGTGATCATGGCTGTCACTCGTCAGCGGAAAGCCCTGGCCCTGTTCCTCAGGATGAAATTCAAGCTTGTGGATTTTGCTATGCTTTTACTTCTGAGCCTTTGACTATGTGACTCCTTGGGCTTGGACCCAGACCTGACCCCCTACCTACTGAACTCCTACTTATCCTCTATAACCCAGATTAAATGTCACTCCCTCCTTTCCTAAACTCCTGAGACTAGTTTGTGTCCATCCTTTTTCACACAAATTATCTTAATTACTGGTTTAATTGGCTGTTTCTGCAGTTAGATAGCCAGGCTCATTCAGGGGGTACATTATTGTTCCCTGACGAAGAT